TTTTGAAGTCGTGTTTTAAAAGACCCGGAAACACTACAGGAGAGCAATAAAGCAGAATGGATAAAACGCATTGATGAACGAAAGATGACAGGACTGATTGTGGGGTTCGGAATTGTCTGAGTTTGGGTAACTGAAAACATAGGCGTCTCAGTTTTCCCACACAGTTGTAAATATGTGTAGACCAACGAAGATTGCTGTCGATGGTGACACCCAGGTACTTCACTGAGGTCATTCTAGACACAGGTTTATCGTTAAGAATAGCAGAGTCCGTTGGAAATTAGGAGTGGGACAGACTGAAAATACACTCTATGCACTTATATATATTAAGACTGAGACCAGATTGGTCAGAAAACGGTTGGATGTGAGATAGGTTTTCAGTAAAAGAATGAAAGTTCGCGGGAAATGAAATTGTCTGAGACAAAACGACGTCATCAGCATACTTTTGGATGTGCGCAGGAGGTGGGACAGAAAGATCATTAATAAAGGCAGAAAAAAGATATGGAGATAGAACAGCACCTTGAATAACACCAGAATTGTTAACAAGAGGTTTTGATGCCTTCCCTCCTAATTTATTTAAGTTTTGTGCTTATTATTAGTATTGTATCACCAGACTCTTTCTTCATGTCACTTTTTGCCCCGGACTTGACGCATCACTCGTTCGTTCGTTTGAATTACGCGTTGGAGTTAGCAACTTTTGAACACCGAAATTCTGACAAGTTCTATGCATTATTCAGGGAGCTTCACCTACTTGTTTTTTTTCAGTTTCAGAAAAAGAGAACTGGTTATTTTTGTTTTCATTTCGCTTTCCCATTAGACAAAATCGCCACCGGTTCCTTTGACAAAACTGCCAGACTTTGGAGTGCCGATACCGGAGAATGCCATCACATATTTCAGGGCCATTCAGCTGAAGTTGTCTGCATTCAGTTCAATCCAACAAGCACTGTTCTGGCAACAGGCAAGTTTTTTTGTCCATGGCTGTAACAGTCATTTGTCCGATGTGCTTTCAGAGGTCTCTGTTTTATTTTCGAGTTACTCTCGCTTGACCTCGTTGTTAGTTGACCTCGTTATTAGTATTGTATCACATTGAAACAGTGAAAGAATTCGCAACATTTCACTTGAATAGCAAGATCAAATTTAAAATCATCCACTATATAACAGAAATTAGATTTTCTTCATTGTAACCCCTGGATTGAAGACTTCATTCTATCTGCAATGTCAGTGATAACGGCCTGACACCTTCCGCTTCTGCCTTCGTTACTCTCTTTCGCCGCGCAGCTTTTCTCTGTTGTTGCATCATTTATCCTCGTTGTACATTTTCTCGATACGATTACATTTGTGCAATCCTTATTGTTTAGTATATGAGATTGGCGGTGATAGGAATGGCTCGCATTTATCCATGACCCTGTTGCAAATTACGCATTCGTCCATCCGTTCCTATTGATCGTCAGATCACGTGCTGCCGTTGTTCACGACAGACATTAACACATACCCTTCCAGGCTCTTTCGCGAATCAGCTTGAACTTGTTTTGGTATATCATTTCAGTTAAGTTCCGTTTATACAGCCATTAACCATGCACTATCGTGCGCCGGTTTTGGTTGCTATCTTTTGGCTACCCCTTTGGATGTACATAAGGAGAAAGACAGGAAAGGTTGAAAGTGGGATCAAAGAGAAAATTTCGAATTTTAGTGAATTGATGTTGCAGCGAAATTGACAAGATGCACGAACGCCACTGTTTACGACACTGAACCACATCACTCAGTGTCTCTAATCATCGACCACGACCATCCCGAGGTCCCCAACCGGGGAGCCTAACGGGACCTATGTGACCCAGACTCCTGGTTAGGGTTTTCATACCCTCATGCCAAGTCTTGACTTGACCACCCTGGGCTTTCTTCCACCAACTACCTGCCTCGGCGAACATCGCTCGCCGTGGCAACTTATCTGATGACATGCGTAACACATGCCCCAACCAACGTAATCTATGGAAGTCGACCACATGCTCCAGTGGGCGACCGCGGTTACCTAAAACTCTGCGCCTAACCTCAGCATTGCTCGTCTGGCTGCCCCACCAGATTCGTGCGACGCTGCATAGACAGCAGTGTTCAAACACCGCCAGTCTATCGATTGATTTATTCTCACAAATATTCATTCATTTATTCGCTGCTTACCCTCCCGCATAAACATTTATCGCAACTCAACGGTTTCCTATCTGGCTCGTATTCTCACAGCGAGGATACGATACGAAGTAATCTTAAATCTGCAAAGATGAACACCTATTTAGTTTTATCATTGATATATACCAATTTGCATTTCGTTTTTTTATCCCATTGTAACGGTGAGTACATTTTTGACTGAAATGTAGTCATAGTTGCCTGCTTAAGTCGTTTATAATACAATGATGTTGTCGTGTATGTTCTGGCCCCTAGTAATACTGTGCATTGGTATTGCAATTGAAATCGGGTCTTAACACCTGTAAATGACGATAAACTTGTGCCGGGTACTTCATAAGGGAATTCAATTAAGATAAAGATAGCACTCGACCTATAGTTGCCTTATCATTGACCAGCGACTTTCTCCTATTCGGCTGACCGAGGTCAGTTACCGCTGGGTTTATTCATTCTAATATAAAGCACATGCAACCAACGGTCAAGGACACAACGTTCCTGAGTGAGTGAGGGAGGGGACGAACAGTCAAAACACACCACACCGAAAATGTTATCCTCACTCGATAACTCACTCAAAACGTACTTTGATTTGTTTATAGAAAAGTAAATTCGTTCCAACTGCATAGGGTTTTCACAGTTGCGGTCCACTGGGTGATGTGTGACGGTCGAAGCACCAATCGCTTTGTGGAGATCTCCGTACAATGCGGTTGGTTGGATTCAGTTGAAATTACAACGAACTCACTTGAAATGGAAAAGGCATAGACTCGATTTTAGCTCTTGCTAGAGTTCATCATAACTACTCAGCATAACTACTGGCACGACCGGAATTGAATCCTCCGACTCGTTGCGTGGAAGTGGTACGTTTTACCTCTGTGCCAACCAGGTACAGCTCGTGAGTAACTAAAAATTAGCAATTCAAGTTTATTCATATATCGCCTCTGATACCGTTTGGTTCATTTGTCTCCACAAAAAAGACAAGCTGTAACTTTGTTTTACCATTAACATTTCAAACTTTCCATCACTTAGTATCCTGGGAGATTGAACACAAAGCAGCAACCGTAACAGAGACATCAATTTACAGACTAACTGATGGTAGAGCGGCTGAACGGGATTCAGCCGACAGATATTCTTCATTAGAAAATATCAGTAGTGCTTATATACTGAATTCACCTTAATTAAAATTCAAATCAGTTGTTTCAAACTATTTATGTCATCGCCCAATCCAAATTATGTCACTCGTTACCAAAAACAAGTTTTTGTGCATCCACGAACCGAGTAATTCATTTGCCGTCACGGATAATAGATAAAGACATTTCAACAGTGTTCAATGAATTTTTGGATCGAATTTATTCTAATTTCTTATAGAGTTCACAAAGGAAACAACTGAAACCAAATGGCAGAAAAATGGCAGTAATTTATCCAACACCGTTTTACAATTAAGTTATCCAGTTCAGTCTTTATGTAGTTTACTAAGACTTGAAACATTATTGAGGATCACAGAAATTTATAAAAAAGCCGATGGTTTCTTTGTTCTGTATTTAACTTGACCATTTGTGTTTAAATGTTCTTCTTCGAGCTCCTCTGTGAACACCTCACGTCACCGCCGAATCAGAAATGGAAATACATTGTGATGTGATCGAATTGCAACGAATCATGTAATCTATGGCTAGAGATTCACTCAGTACTGGTCCAAGATAGTGCATATTGACTTGATTTTGTTGAATATACAACAGAGGCATTCCCACTGTTGAATAAATCCATCACTCCATCAGACGTGATTTGCTTGATACGAGAAAATTGTCGGTAATTTAGTCAATATTATTGCTGTCTGGCTCTACTCGTTACTAGATTGTTTGCAAGACTCTGAGTTTTAATGCAATGACTTATTTGCAACGTTATGTGAGCGTGATGGTTTCATGGAATCAGTGACAGGATGGTTTGACGAAGGTCATGCACTGTTATTCTCAATCCTGAGACCGTTCTAATGTGTCACTACTTCTCAACACTAAGTATTTATTGTGAGGGTTAGGGAGGTGAGGATGGACTAGGAGTGAACAAAGAGTACAGAGGATGATCAGTACACGGTGTGATAAAAGTGTATCTCAAGTATGACTGATAAGAAACACACGCACTTCTATTTACAGTTATTCATATGAGCCGTTAAGGGCAGAAATTATCCACTTTTTTGAAGCCTGATCACTCGCCTATGCCCATGATGATTCAAGTCACTTTGTATGTTCCGGGTATCAGTGGTCAAGCGGTTCGACTCGATATCACCGGCTGCGTTTTGGACTCTATGGTCCGAGGTTCGAATCCATCTACCGCCACCCAACTTACGAGGTAGGCAGCTTCGTTGTCGTCCGTCTCAATACCACGTCTAACCTAGCGCGGCCTTGTGTTCTTCGCTACCCCGAGTCAATGGGCATAGAGTACTGGTTTTCAGGAATGAATAACAGGATCTCGTAACCTGTTCGCGTTTGCTGTTCATCACAAACGTATGCAATAAAAAATTGGCCTAGGAAAGATTTGATTTCATAACTTGTTCATGCCTGAATTAACTGAGCGTTTCTTCATTGGAACGATGGAAAAACTGTTTTAACTATCAGCTAAGGAGCCAAAGGGTCTCTTCATATTGTACTTCCATCGTGAAAACTGTGAGTGTTGCCCGATTGTTTTTACTGATCGTAAGAAATGTTTTCAGCTGAATAATCCCCGTTACAATTTAAACTATGATCCCCATATGCGCTTTCGGTCAGCGCAGATTTTTCTTTTAATCTCCATTGCATTAACCAACCTAACTGACATGAATCAACGCTATTTTTGCTTCAGGTAGTATGGATACATTATCCAAACTGTGGGATGTGGAGACTGGAGTTGAACTGGTCAACCTTAACGGCCACACAGCAGAGGTGATTGCTTTGCAATTTTCTCAAGGTGGTAGTGTGACCTCTTCTGAAGGAGACAGTGGCTGTTACCAGGACACAGTCTGTGGAGCAGGTGCTGGTCGTCTCATGTTGACCGGAAGTTTCGATCATACCGTGTGTCTTTGGGATGTTCGAACAGGGGATCGAACGCATCATCTGATCGGTCATGCGGCCGAAGTGGCTGCTGCCGCATTCAGCTATAATGCTGTCCTAGTTGCCACAGCATCCATGGATAAAACCGTACGGGTAAGCAAGCAACCATGGCAATTTTTGGTTACACCCTTTTCTATGGCCCACATTTCAAGCCTTGCATTAGCTGATGATGATCGCAGTGCAGTTGCACGCTGAACATTCACCATGAGCTTGGTCTCAGCTCAGTCAGTCAACCTGTCTCCCTATTCTTTATACACTCCTTGCTTTGATCTGAATCTAAGAGACAGTCAAGCCATTTCGGAGAAAAGAAAATGGCCGCAGTATAGCTTCGTTTGTCTTTTTTACCGAGTATTCACAACAGACCGCAAATATGAGTCATAGAGATAAAGTATGAGTGTTTTGGCACAATTTATTGCGGAACACGTCAAATCAAATGATTCGGCGTTTAATATACCGGTATCAGCCAAATTTATTAGTAAACTACACCTCTATTTTTGTATACTTTAATTTGCTGGCAAAGGCATTATTCAATTTCTCAACGTCACTATGAAAAACAGACATATTTGACGGAGTTCAGATTTTACACCCGATGATTTGGTAAATTATTATATTCATACTGGGATGTATATGTTACAAGTCAGCTTCCTTAATTAAAAACCCAAAGGTATGGGACACTCGGACCGGACGGCAGTTACATGTGCTCACTGGACATACGGATGAAGTACTGGATGTCACGTTCGATGCTAGCGGACGACGTTTGGCCAGTGCCAGCGCAGACGGGACATCATTCATATGGAACGTGGTGACTAGCGGGACAAATAAGAGTTTTCGCACAGTGGCACATTTGACCGGACACGAAGGTGAAGTGAGCAAAGTAAGTGTGTGTATTGTTTAAAATCGTTATGGTTGTGCTCAAAAAATTCACACTGTTACCATTATGGACTGATACACGCTATGTGCGCACGCTCATAGTTTTCTGTTTGAACTATGAAAAAATGGATGAACAGTGTTGGCCCTCAGGGACAAATTGTCTGAATCAGTTTTCCGTCAGATTTCATCGACACCACCCGACGGTGCCACAGATGTATCAAGTTGACAAATGCCAACCGAGCCTTTTGTATGCGCGCCGACCGTTCATCTGTGATGCGTCCGCCAGAGAAAAGATTAAATAAGCTCTAACTTAATTTCTCATCAGGCATGGGGAAGGAACACAATATCCAAAAGGAACTCGAATAAATACCCTGAAGAACCCTGTACCGTTACTTGTTTTATGCTGCCAAAGACTTTCCGGATCATCAGAAACGCTTCCTGGATTGATTGCAAGAACTCTAAAATACTGCGTTGTGGTTCAGCTATGATAACCGAAAGGTGTTCTGATCTCTTAAAACTTACTAACTTATCGAAAATTTTCACAATTTCTGATTGGTGGTGGCTTCGGTAATAACTATTCTAAGAACGACCACGATGGTGTTCCAGTCGTGAACCTGAATCGAGAAATGCGACAATAGCAATACGATTGTTCGAGGACAGTTTGTACTTACTTCTTGCGAATGTCATACATACATACATTAACCATAATTCACCCGGTTTACTTTGTGGGGGGGGGAGTGTTGAAGTAAGACTGTATGACTTCAGCGACAAAGATTATCGAATTCAGAGTCCATACTCAGAAAAGTGCATTTGGGAAACATTTTATTTTTTAAACTTGTATTTTCTCGTAAAATTCCGTAACTGTTATGAAAATTATGACATCTGTCGACATCTCTCGTTACGTTATTTCTATTGCAGTTGATATTGTAACGAGAAGGCGAGCTGGGTGGGAAAACGTCTATTGATCCAATTCCAAAAACAAACAGTGTTTACGTTCGATTATATACAGTCAATTCTCAACCGCACGGCGGGATGATTCATGCCTCTTTCTGTGGGTCATTCCTTGTTGGTCTTGGTCCGCACTTGGCACCCTTCTCGTTACAATATGATAGAGATATCTCATTCCGTTCCGAAAATATGGCCAAAATGAGCATTTTGAGTGTTCACTGCTTGAAGGTGCTTCTGTGTTGATGTCACAGAGGTGGTTTATGACCTGAGAGTGTCGAACAAACTGGATGTGAATCTGGTCAATACTGTTGTGCAACCAGTTGAGATGTAGCCTATGAATTCTACTGCAGCATCATGCGATGGAGGTATGCAATGGCTCAAACGTCGATCGCGCATGATCCGCTGGCATCAGCGAAGGGGGACACATACACACAGAGACGTACGCGTACTAACAAGATAAACACCTCATATGTATACGAGACTGTCAGATTACCGGCTTGTACTCGTACGTTTTGTAATGCTCTTGGTGTTACGTCCTATCCATCCGAATACGGATGGCACACCTGCTGCACAGTCGAAGTTCACTGGGCCTGCCTGAGACTCACAGCTGTAAAAAAAGGTGTGGTTTCTCGCTCGGGTTAGCTGGGCAAGCANCAGGTCCCTTGTTGCGGCTGAACCATTCGACCGATCGATAAATGAACCCGATCGGTCGTGGGATTTTCGAGCCGGCACAGGAGGAGGATAGGTTCCGAATCGGATGCTGCTTAAGTGTTGGTAGAGAATCGCCCCAAGAGAATCAGTTGTGGAGCGGTGCGCCATGTGGGAAATTCCGAATGAAAAATGCTCAAGTGATTATGACACTGAACCAACGCATGACTCATCTAAGATACACGCACTATTTTTCGAAGCGGGTTCAGTAAACAGAATAAACACAATAAAACTTTGAACTTATCTTTATAACGGACAACAATATGTCCTAATGTAGGCCCACGCAAAACTCTTCTTGATTTTTTTCCAACTGGTTGTTTTTGCGTTGAACGATCTCGCTAACTACCTCAGAGATAGAATTCCGAAAGAAAGAACAAATATTGCGGGAATAATTATATTCATACCATAAAAGATGTTCAACATGTTTTCCATTCTGCTGCTTGCATAGCATAATCCGGTGAAGACAGTTTTCTTCCACCTTCAGAATGGTTGCAGTTGGAATACTGTCGCACTGCGCCACAATGCTCTGTTCAAGTTCTTCGATAAATCTCGGTTTTCGGGAATAAACCGTTCGCTTCTGATATCCCCACAGAAAGAAATCCAAGGGGGACAGATCAGGTGACCTTCAATGGGAGGACCTTCGGGGTGATTTGACACGTCAACGACAGCCCCAGTAGATGCACTCAGTGGAGTACCCAGAGGTCTGTACTTGTCCCTCTGCTGTTCCCCAACTTCATCAACGACCTGTGAACGAGTTTGTGGAACCCGTGCTACATATTTGCTGACGATGTGAAGATGGCCGGCGCGGACCTCGATGGAGATATTGAGGCTATACTATCCTGGTCATATAAGTTGGACCTGCCACTAAACCTGGCCAAATGTCAACCGGTAGAGATAAGAAGGGCAGATATCCCTGACCAGATAGGGCACCTAATGGAGGTAACGCATTCAAACAAATTCAAATCTACCGGAAGTGTACACGATTGGAACCGCAAGGGACATGTACGAACAAAGACGGATGGATGTGGTTTATTCAACGTTTTGCAATGTGCGTCGAAATCCTCAGACGTCCACAAGGTAAATTGCCCAGGGATGCAATTTACAGAGTGGTTTGAAGTTTCTTACACCTCTTACTGCATTCCATTTCGCCTGTTCGCCGAGCTTGGTAATTTGTTTGCAAACGATTCATCACCAGCCGAGGTGACATCATCAGTGCTTCTGAAGTGGCAATGTTCTGCCTGTACCCGTTCGTTTATATATTCGTGGAGAAGAACGGTGGAGAAGAAGGTCCTCCCATTGAAGGTCACCTGATCTGTCCCCCTTGGATTTCTTTCTGTGGGGATATCAGAAGCGAACGGTTTATTCCCGAAAACCGAGATTTATCGAAGAACTTGAACAGAGCATTGTGGCGCAGTGCGACAGTATTCCAACTGCAACCATTCTGAAGGTGGAAGAAAACTGTCTTCACCGGATTATGCTATGCAAGCAGCAGAATGGAAAACATGTTGAACATCTTTTATGGTATGAATATAATTATTCCCGCAATATTTGTTCTTTCTTTCGGAATTCTATCTCTGAGGTAGTTAGCGAGATCGTTCAACGCAAAAACAACCAGTTGGAAAAAAATCAAGAAGAGTTTTGCGTGGGCCTACATTAGG